AACCTGACCAAGAGAAGCTGCAGCTGCTTCAGATGCGTCAGAATCAGGTGGGCGGAGAAACCGATTTCTGGCGCTGTGGCTTTATTTGATGTTGAGGGGATTTGTCTGAATTTTCTGGTCGTATAAAGTATGTGCTTTCTGAAAATACACTATCCAATCTCAGGAAAGCAAGAAAGAAAAAAATAGGTAGTGTCGATGATAGATTTCAAGAATGTAAGAAACAGAGTGCATAATGTTTTGACATTACAAAATGCATGTAAGTAAAAGTATTAATTATCAGCTGATGGAAAAGAAAGAAACTCGGCATACTGAGTACTCCAGAGACTGGGATAAGTTGCCAGTTTCTTTATTTCTAGAGATTGGATGCATTGTAGTCACTTCTGGTAATTAAAGACTTGGACTCAAGGATGAAAAGCAAACAATCCCCTTAAAAGAATGTTTTTGTTACAAAGTTTTATTGTTGGTGCATATATTTTTCATAATAGCATTGCATTTTGTATTGGGTGATAGTATTGAGAGATTACAGAATCTAAACCTTTCCCTCGCTTAAGTTTAAATCATGTGGGTATAGATTAGTATATTGTTACTATGACTGAAAACTAAAATTAATTTAGATTATCTATGCCTTTACTCTATAGGCTTCTGTTTTCTTTTTCTTTATTCTTTCAAACTTTCTTGTTTTTTTACACAATTTTTTTGGAGAGGTCTTCTAATGCGTTCCTTTGTGACAGCAACAGCAGCAGCAGCAGACACAACAGCAGCAGCAACAGCAGCAGCACCACAGTGTAACATTGCGACAGCAGCTTCACCAGCAGTTGCAGCATAGGCCTCATGTTGGGGTAGGGATGAATATTGGGCCCCAGGGACAAGGAGGCAACACTACCCTGGGGCAGCCGCGCATGATGCAGTCCACCATGCAGAATCCAGGTTTAAAACAGCTGCTTCAAGTGAGGCAGCAGCAGCATCAGCAACTGCAGCATCAGCAGCAACAGCAACAACAGCAACAGCAGCAGCAACAAATCATTATGATGCAGCAGCAGGGGATGAGGCCCCAGTTAGGTCAGCAGGGCCAGCAGGTCATGGGCCAGGCAATAGGCCAGCAGGGGATGGGCCAGCAGGCTATGAACCAGCAGACTATGGGACAGCAAGGTATTGGCCAGTCAATTCAAGATAGCAATGACTATATGGATCTGTTATAAGGAGTCATTTTGATGTACTGTATTTTCCAGCAGATAAGACACAGCCATGATTTTTATTTTATTTATTTATTTATTTGTTTATTTTTTAAGAGGGAGAGGGGAAGAATTTCAGCACATTTCACTATGTATGAATTATTATGGCATAGTTTCTTTGGGTAAAAGAAACTGCTAATACCTGATGTAGGCTTTGTTGCTTGGGGGTGAGAAGTATTATGAAAAGTTCAAATTTATGTTTATGTACAGTCATAACCAGATCCCTTATTTTACATCTTCAAGTAACTGTACTACACGTTTGATATTTTATAAAAATATATATTTGTTTCTCATAATATTTGCAATATTATTACTAAGACAAACTGAATATTTGTGTTGAATTGACTATAGAGCTTTACTAACCCACATTCTGCCAATATTTTCAGCTCAGTCTTGGCCTCAACTTAGGTAATTTGGGTGTTGTAAACATGGTGATTTTTATATACTTTTTTATAGGAAAAATGCATCTTATATACTGGGAAATAGGGTATACACGTTTTTTTTTCTTAAGTTGTCATTCCTTTATGTATAGTATTTGTATTCATGTAATGATGGATTATATCCAAATTTTTGTGTGCTGTACATAGTCAAGTATTTACACATTCTTAATCCTTCAGGCTTAAGCAGAAAATAAAGTCTTTATTTTGAGTTTCTCTTCTTTCTTTCCCCTTTTTTCCCTCTCTAGGGACCAGGGAGCGGGGAATCTGATGGTTCCCCAAAATTATTCTTTTTAAAAATGCCAGTTGTGTTCCACACAAATAAAAGGAAAACAAGTGTTTGTTTGTATATCACTCGCATATTATTTGAATAAGAAAAGAAATTTATTACATGAATGCTGACAATTTGATAATTGCAGAAAAGATTCTTCCATTTTACGATTTGAAAAGTTATGAGAAATAGAAAACAAGACAGTGAAATGATATGCTTGTAGGCCATTAAAACTGGCCTTGTGAGGCTTTTCTGTCTATAATTAAATATCTCTGCTTGGGGTTAAAATGTGATATTCATTACTGATGAAAATGTATTGCCTTCAAATATCATTTGTTGAAATTGCTGATTGACACGTTTTTCCCATGAAAATATTTTTTTTCGGTAACTTCTTGGGTTCTCTTGTCATTAAACGGCACATCTCTTGACTGCATACAAATGTAGACCATATCTCAATTAATGAAATGTTTTGGTGAAATCGCTCACTGTGCTTCTCACTTACTGCTCTACATTTAAATGGCATGGAATACAGGTGAGTGTAAAAAAATTTCCAGGTGACTTGTAGCAATCTGGGCAATCCTATGCCAGTAGCTACTGACCTAGTTTTGGAAAAAAAAACTTGTTGCCACTACCTGAGAGGTTATCCATGCCCTCTCCTCACCAAGCAGACCACCAATCCACAATCGCCGAGGTTCATGTATCCGAGGACAAACAAAGACACCTTCCTTTATCTTAGCTGATATTTTTTTCAGAGCTAGTTCCCCCCCAATCCCTTGCCCGTTGTTGTCGTGGGGGGGCTTAGGAGGCGGAGACTGGGACCCAATGATGGGGAACTCCCCAACCTTGGGACTCAGCCCTCGACTCAACTAATTATGCATGGTCTTTTTTTCCCTTCCCACTTTTGTTTCTGTCCCTTCACCAAACCCTTCTGCTATCCACCTCCTAAGGTGTGAGAGCCGTGCTGAAAGGATGAAAGGCTGACTTTGTGCCAGTCCTGAACGGCCTGAGGGAGCCATGGGCACGGTATTCCCCTGATTTTAGTTATCTAGCCCTTACCCCTCAAGGGGACCCTGAGGGGTGGACTGTTTTTATCCCCAACATAATCCAGGCTTACCATGGCCAGTAATGAAAATATATCCCCACTGTTAGGGGCAATGAGGCTTGCCCCAACGGAGTAAACCCACTCGATTCCCTGACCCCAGGCTCTCCTTTGACCACGGCTCCGAACACTGCAATAACTACCCCTTCACCAATGCCTACTGGTACAGTAGCCAACAATTAACCCTCAAGGAACATTTCCACTCTCCCATCATGCTCAACTTCAACACCTCTACCCCCACAACCTCCAACATCAACCACCCCATCCTCCCTTATTAATACCTTACAGCCTTATTGCCCACCTCTCCATAACACTACTTCCCCCAACACTACTCCATCTTCGTCACGCCCCCGCCCTTCTACCACCCCTATCTCTAAAACAATCTTGAATACTCTCTTTAGTGCAGCCAAATGGGACCGATTTTTCGTGATCCCTCCCACAGCTCCCTACTCTGACAACACCCTTCTCTTCCAACAATGCCTCCAAAAACAAGTAGGTAAAGTCTCTTTCCGTAACCGACCCGACCGCTCCCGTCTTGTCACAGTAACATCCGAAAACCAAGCTATAGCATTAACAAAACCAACTGACCTATATGGTAACCCCATCCTTGCAGAACCCCATCCAACCCTCAATACTTGCACCGGAACAGTCTCAATCTCCCCAGCAAATTGCCCAATCTATGACAAAGATTGGTCAGATTGTGGAGAAGGCCTACTTGCCTGTCTCACAGACTATGATGCAACATCAGTACAAAGCTATTCCCCCCAGAGGTCATCGAAAGAAATCCACTAACATAGCCAAAATTAACTTCCGTAGACATGACCTTCCCTTTAACGTCTACATAGGAGGAGAATCCCTCCCTGTTCGTCCATACCAACCTCCTCCACGTCAGTGCCAAAATTGTTGGCGTCTAGGACACCCAGCCAAACATTGCCGTTCCACAGCCAGATGCCCACTATGTGCCCAACCTGGCCATACCCGATCTAACTGCTCTGCACAATCACGCACATGTACCAACTGTGGCGGCCCCCATAATGTATTTTATAGGGGCTGTCCCACCTACAAATTTGAATCTGAGGTAGCAACTCTCAGATTCAAACTTGGACTCGCACTACATGAAGCCAGACAGGAAGCACGTCGACGTGGATTCTCTCTAACTGATCATTCTAACACTTCTCCTAAACCCACCCCTCCTACATCTAACTCCCCCACTTCTACCTCCTACCTTCCCCAGTCAAACTCTTTTGCCATCCTAAATCCAGACACCCCAATCTCTACTACAGATACTCCAATCACCACTACAACCCCAACACCTTCCCCTCTCCCTCCTCGCACTACCCGTAACAGACAGAACAAACGTTCCACCCCCTCTTCCCCTACCACACAATCACCCCCACCATCCTTTGCCCCTACTCTTGAGACACCAGTCCTCTCTTCCCCCCTCACAAGAAATCCTTTATCCCCCAAAACTCCCCAACCAACTCCACAGAAGAAACTATTGAAAATATTCAAGATTACTTAATGAAAACTGACACTCAACCTACAACTCCTGCTCCTTCCACACTCCAAGTAATTGCTGAATATCCATCCTCCTCCTAACGATATCCCCCCTACACCCTATCCTCCTACCCCCTCCCAACACAGCCCATACCCCCTGACCCCAACCCCGCCCACATTAACCCTCCCACCATCCCCTCTATCCCTTCCACTCCCTCCTGGATACACACGTGAATCCCTTATGTCACAAGTATCCCCTCCCTCAGACCCTCCATCTCCTAATACCCCTCCTGATAGAACACCAACTCCCACACTTCTCCCATCTCAAACCTGTCAGTCCTTATCCCACCCTCTAGCTGCTTCCCCTTCAAATTCTCCAACACGTACTACAATCTATATCACTAAATCAACGAAAGTATAACTATCCTTCATTGGAATATTCACGGTTTCCGCTCCCACAGACCTGACCTTCGTCATATCCTTTCCTCTTATAACCCATCTATTGTATGCCTTCAAGAAACCTTTCTTACACATCCTCCAATACCAATCCCCAATTATCATTTAGTCTCTTCCCCACATTCCCTTTATGTTTCGTCCTTACTTATCAATCAGAAAACACCTTTTGTCACACCTCCCTTTCAAACCAATGTCCCTTGCACAGTTCAATCCCACACATCCTATTGTCGTGCCCACGTTTTGAAGCAGCCCGTACCTCTGCTTTCCCCCACCTATCCTCCCTTCACCGACCTCCCAACCTATCAGACATCCTTACAGAATCCCACACTTTCTGCATCAACAACCTGATCTCTTTCCTCAAACGCATACATATCCTTTATCTAATCTAACACCCGACCTTAACCCTTTCACTCACCAATTCCTTTGCCCAGCTTAGACAACTAATCACTAACTCAACCACCCTTCACAAACATTAACTATAGTGCTACATGACCTTAGATGTCTAGCACATTTATCTTGCTTTTAACCATTAACCATTTCAGAGCTAGTTGATACCTGCTTGTATGTGGTACAACAGAGCTAGTTGATACCTGCTTGTATGTGGTCCAACACCTTGACAAAATTTTTCATCCGACCAAGCTTTAGATTTAGCTCATGCTTGGTCGAAAACAACTATAATTTCCAGGCCCAGCCACAGAGTTACAGATAGATCCTTTGAAAGCTATCCCTGTACTTTAATTAAGAACAAAGCCATTTTTTGACTTTTCAAAGTTACTCCTATCCCTGTCCCACACGTAATGTGGATTCTGACGCAGTAAAGTATCATGGGAAATTTTAGTTCAAAATACTGACTGGCTCTAGTTTTCATCATCATTAACAGAATTAATAATTTTAGTTATAGACCAGTTGTGGTAGTAGTAAAAAAAATCCCTAGATTCCACCACAAATATTACCGACTGATCATATTAGACATTTTAGACGGTTGTCAGATTTCAGAAAATTATAAAGAGAACAAAGACAAATTGAGAATATGATATGATTACAGTAAACACTGTAATGCCTAAGATTGAGAGGCAGTATTTAGAAAGAGCCATTATAACCTGTATTTACACTTGTGTTTTGTCAGGTATTTGTGGGAGTGACAGAATATGTGGTTTTGTAATAAATCTACACAAAAGGGACTTTTTAACTATTCCGGGTATAAAAAAATATATACACAAATTGTTTAAGAGATGGGCAATAGGATAGGAAGGCGGGAGTGAAATTATGATTTTTTTTACAATATATTTTTAGGCAAGTAATTTGAGGTGCCAATGCTTATTTCTTATCAAATGTGGCATTACACTCTTCTCCCAAGATAAGTGTTTGATTTTTAAAATTCATCGCATTCTTAATGTACTCCAAAAATGCAATGATTATTCTTTCACCTCTACAACCTAAGGAACTCATGTACGTGTACGTGTGTGCGTGTAGTTGAAACGGTTCGTTAGAAGTTCGGAACTCGAGCAGAGAACTGGAGTGTTACTTGGTGGTTGGTTGAATGCACGCCGTGTGGGAACTGGAAAAGGCCTTTTTCGTGGTTAGCGTTAATTGTTCGTATTCTAGAGGGAGTCATTACGGTGTTTTTATTTGATTTTCGTGATTTGACAAAATGGTTCAGTGTGTGTGAAAGAATTTCGTGGCATTCGAAAAATCTCTGTTTGCGAAAGAATTGGAGACTGAAAAAGCTCAGTGAGAGGTAAGGTCACTGGGACGTCTTTTTCTGACTAGAAACCATAATATATATGTGCACACACACGCACGCACGCACGCACGCACGCACGCACGCACTCACACACACACACACACACACACACACACACACACACACACACACACACACACACAC